CGGCAACCGGGGACGCCCGGGATCCAGAAGAAGAAGAAGGGCCCTCCGCGCCCCCAAGCCGCCGCCTCCACCGCAATCGCGGCTCCTCCTCCGGGTACCACCGCCTCGGCCGTGGTCCAGCCGTGCTTCAACTACGGCTTGACCGGACACTTCCAGGTGGCGTGCCCCAACCCTCCGACATGCTACCTGTGCAAGGATACCGGGCACCCCGTGATTCTCTGTCCGGACCGCCCGGTGACTGAGGAGCTCATGATGTATGGGCACGGCATCGAGGACTTGGCCTTCTTCCACATCGAGGTGCCCGAGCTCCCCCCGCCATCCCCCTCGCTGCTGGCTTTGGTGACGGTTGTGGGTGATGCCGTCGCCACCCCGGAGCTGATTGAGGCTGAGCTCAACCACTTGTGCAGATGCACGTGGGACTGGCAGGTGACCCCCACGGCTCCTAGCGCCTTCTCAGTGGTCTTCCCTGACGCGATGAGCATGGGATTCTGCACGCGCAGCAACAACATCACCCTGGCTCTCAACGACATCGTGGTGAACATCTCTGAGCCGCAGTGGGATCCCAGAGCCGTCGCTACCCTGGACACGGCTTGGCTCCTCATCTCCGGCCTCCCTGATGTTGCCCGGTCCGAGCGGGTCATCCGCAGTATGTCCAAGATCCTGGGCAGGGTGGTGGTGGTTGACGAGCTCTCCCTGCGCAAGGAGGAGGAGGTCCGGGTTAAGGTGAAATGCCTGGACTCCTCCAAGCTCCTCGTCACGATCCGTGTCTTCTTCAACGATGACGGCTACGACCTCAAGATCCGCCCCGAGCCTCTGTCCCACGTCGGCCGCCCCCGCCTCTCTGCTGGCAGCCTCATGGGGGGGGGCGCTGATGCTGACGACTCCCACCACCGCCGCTCGCGCTCCTCCCGCTTCGACGACCCTGCCGAGGACGAGGATGAGTCGGAGCACTCTCGCTTCCCGTCTCGGGACCCCCCCAACCCTCCAGCGGGTGGGGGCGGGTCGGGGTCGGGGCGTACCCGGGTGTCGGCCGCCGATCTCGCGGTGGCCCTCCGCCTGGCCACCCCGCTGGCTTCCTCCCCGTCTCCATCGGCGTCGACCGGTGACATCTCCAGCGTGAGCCTCCTCGTCGCCCCTCCATCATCGCCCCGCTCCCCCGGCGCCGCCTCTGCCCGCCGCCTCGCACCGCCGGGGGCTGAGCCCATGCCCTCCGCCGGCTTGCCTTCTCCGGTTTCTTCCGGGGCTGGCGGTGTCGGGGCGTCTCTGGGGCCGTCTGATCCACCCCCCGCGCCGGTGCCGTCCGGCTACCACCTCGCCTCGCCGGCTTCCCCCGACGCCTCGGTGGCGGTGGACGTCTCCTCCCCGGCCTCCGTGCACCCCCCTCCGACGGTGGCGTACGCCAGGAGGCCCCGCTCCACCTCGACGCCGGTGACGTCCTCTCGCCGCAGCGCCCGCCTGGAGGCGGCGCGGCCGGGCGACTCCCCTGCGCCTTCCGTCACCGAGCGGGCGGAGCTCCGCGCCGCGGTCCGGAACCTCGAGTCAGGTGCGGACCCCGCCCCTCCCGGTTCTTCTCGTTGCTCCTTTTCTGCTCTCGAGGCCGCTCCTCTCGGCCACCTAGCTAAGGTGGCCAATGACTCGGCCATTGTCTTCAGGGGGGAGGTCGGTCCCCCCTTAGATCAGATCGCGGCCATTAGGGCCCGGGAGATCCTCGACGGCAGGCTGGCTGAGACTCGTGCCCGCCTGCTTCGGCCCCCGGAGGGCCCGCCCTCCACCCCCGCGGCTCCGGCTCCTCCGGTGGCCGACGGGATTATCCGTGGACGCACTCGGTCTCGCACGGCCGCCCTTCGCGCGCAAAGCGCCTCTCGTGTCTTGGGGTCAAGCAGCCCCCCGATGGGGGTTTAGATGCGGGCCCTCTTCTGGAACCTCCGCGGCTTCGGCCATGATGGTCGTCGTCGCCAGCTCATCGACTACATCCGGGAAGAACACATTGACATCGTGGCCATCCAAGAAACCCTTCGCTCCGAGTTCACCCTGCCGGAGCTTGAACACCTGAGCCCCCACCTCTTCGCTTGGCACTGGCTCCCTTCTAGTGGGACCTCAGGCCACTCGGGTGGCATCCTCTTAGGGGTTAAGGATGCCACATTTGAGGTGGGAGGCATGGATAGAGGGGAATTCTTCGTTAGTATGGAGATCTTCGAGCGTGCCCTGAACTTCAAATGGGAGGTCATTGTTGTCTACGGACCGGCGGATCACCGCCGCTCCCCGGCCTTCCTTGACGAGTTGCAGCTGAAGATTTCTAACTCCCCCCTCCCTGTTTTAGTGGGAGGCGACTTCAATCTCATCCGATCCCCGGATGAGAAGAATAATTCCCGGATTAATTTTCCCCGGATGCAATTATTCAACGATTGGATCGCGGAGCTGGGGCTCCGCGAGCTTGACCGGACAGGTGCCAGGTTCACTTGGACCAACCGGCAATCTGTCCCGACACAATCCGTGCTGGATCGTGTCCTAGTGTCCCCGGAGTGGGAATTGTGTTGCCCCTTGGCATCGCTCCGGGCGGTCACCCGGATTGGCTCCGATCATGTCCCCCTTCTCCTCTCCACCGCCGACGAGCGCCCCCCCTCCCCGCCGCGGTTCTGGTTCGAGCTCTTCTGGCTCAACCAAACCGGCTTCCGGGAGGCCGTCGTCGCCCGCTGGATTTCCGCTAGGTCGGCGCCCCATCGCTCCATGTCCGCTGTCGACTCATGGCACTTTTGTGCCAAGCTTGCCCGCCAGTTCATGAAGGGTTGGGGGGCTAACCTTGGCCGGGACCTTAGAGAGCGCAAGAAGACCATCCTGATTGCTATTCAAGCCCTGGATGCTCGCGCGGACTCGACCGGGCTCTCCTCGGATGAGTGGATGCTATGTTACGACCTGGAGGACCAGCTCTCCACCATCTACACGGATGAGGAGGCCTACTGGCGCTTGCGTGGTACCCAGAGGTGGGTGCTACAGGGCGATGCCAACACCGCCTATTTCCAGGGGTCGCGAACGGCCGGCGCCGTCGCAACTCCATCCACTGCCTGTGGGATGGAGACTCGCCGTTAGTTCTCCCCGCGGTCATCCGCTCTCATGTGGATGGCTTCTATCGAGCCTTATTTACCCTCACCCCGCGCGGTGGGGCTAGTCTCGCCCCCGACATTTGGTCGGGCGCGCACGTAGTCTCGGATGTAGCCAATGTGGCTTTGGTTGCCCCCCTTTAGCGAGGACGAGGTCCTCGCTGCCATTAAGGGGATGAACCCCTCCTCGGCCCCGGGACCGGACGGTCTACCAGTGTCTTTCTTCAAGACGTTCTGGCCTACCATCAAGCTTGAGGTCATGGCTCTCTTTGAGGAATTCTACTCGGGCTCCATGGACCTGGGGCGCCTTAATTATGGGGTTGTGACCCTCATCCCCAAGGTCCCGGGCGCCTCCGATATTCGCCAGTTCCGCCCCATCACAGTGCTTAATGTGATTTTTCGGATCCTGGCTAAAGGGTACGCCAATAGGGTGACCCTCCTTGCGGACTCAATCACCCACCCGAACCAATCCGCCTTCATTCAAGGCCGATTTATCCTGGATGGGGTGTTGGTGTTCCACGAAGTCCTCCACGAGGTCCGCCTGAAGCGCCATAGGGCGGTCTTTCTTAAGCTGGACTTTCACAAAGCCTACGACACGGTGCACTGGCCGTTCCTGAGGGAGGTCCTGCTCCGCAAGGGCTTCGATGACCGTTGGGTGACCCGCGTCATGCAGCTCGTCTCCTGTGGTCGGACTGCGGTGAACATCAACGGCGACATTGGGCCCTTCTTCCCTACCCTTTGCAGGGTCCGGCAGGGAGATCCCTTCTCGCCGTTCTTGTTCAACATGGTCGTGGATGCCCTGGCCACCATCTTGGATAAGGCCACGGCTGCTGGGCATATTCGAGGCCTTGTCCCGCACCTTGTTGGAGGGGGAGGTGTTTCCCTTCTCCAATACGCGGATGACACCATTATTATGGTCGAGGGTTCCGCCCTAGAGATCTCCAACCTGAAGTTCCTTCTTCTGTGCTTCCAACAAATGTCGGGCCTCACCATCAACTTTGATAAGAGCGAAGTGATGGTACTCGGTTACCCCTCAGAGGACGCACAGTCCATTGCCGACCGGCTTAACTGTCGGCTGGGTTCTTTCCCCATGACCTATCTGGGGATCCCCATTAGTGACACGCGCCTCACCGTGGCGGACCTCCGCCCCACGGTGACCCGTATGCAACATCGCGTAGAGCCCTGGAAAGGGCGTTGGCTGTCGAAGGCGGCGCGCGTGATCCTTATCAACTCCTCGCTAGCTAGCCTCCTGTGGTTCCTCATGAGCTTCTATAGCCTTCATGAAACGCTCCATCAGGAGGTCGTCAAATACCAGTCCAGATTCTTCTGGGCTGGGGAGGAGGGCAAGCAGAAATACCACATGGTCAGCTGGCCAGATATCTGCAAACCCAAGGACCAGGGCGGTCTTGGGATTCTGTCCTCTCGGCGCATGAACATCGCCCTCTTGACCCGCTGGCTCTGGCGCATTGCCAATGGGGATGGAGGCCTCTGGCTCACTATCATCCAGAACAAGTACCTACGTGGACAGCCACTCGCGTTCTGCCAACGCTCTGGCGGTTCCCAGTTCTGGCAGGCCGTCGTCCAGCTGCTGCCGGTCTTGCGTATAGGCACATCCATCTCGGTGGGCACTGGAGCCTCGACCTTGTTCTGGCTGGATAGATGGCTCGGAGATGCCCCTCTAGCCGCCCGGTTCCCCATCCTATTCGACATTGTAGTTGACCCTCGGGTCTCAGTCGAGGCGGCCCTTATTGACTTAGGGTGCCTCGCGTTCCGCCGCCCTTTTGGCCCCGCTGAGGTGGCTGCCTGGGATGTCCTCCTCCAGGACATCGCCCTCTTACCTATGGACGTGGCCGACTCTCCAGACGCCATCTCCTGGCGCCTAGATCCCTCCGGCTGCTTCTCCACTAAATCCCTCTACGTGGCTATTGCCCCCTCGTCAGCCCCGGAGCCCTTCGGTCTGATCTGGGACATCCGCCTCCCCCTAAAGATTCGGATCTTTCTTTGGCAATGGATCCGCGGCCGCCTCCCGACCGGCGTTGAGGTTCTTAAGTGCCATGGTCCTGGCGATGGAATGTGCCCCCTGTGTGGCACGGTAGAGGACGCTAATCACATCTTCTTCTCTTGCTACACGGCACAGTTCCTTTGGTCTTGTTTCCGCGAAACGGTTGGGGGACAGTGGTGCAACACCAACTTTCCTGACTTGCTTGCGGAAATTCAAGCCTCCCCCCCTCGCTACAGACATATTAGATGGCTGTGCGTCGGGGTTCTCGCCTGGACGCTGTGGACGGTTCGCAATAAGCTTGTCATTCAGAAGGTGCCCCTTCGGCGTGCTACTGACTCCATCTTTAAAATGTGTGGTTACTTGCAGCTCTGGCGGCCGCTTAGCCGCCCTCAGGACCGGGACGCCATCAACAGACTCCTCACCGACCTCCGTTCGTTGGCCTTCCGCCTGGCGCCTCCGCTCCCGCCGCCACCCCCGGAGCCCGACTAGAGGATGTTTCCCTCCTGGCGCGTGTGCCTTTTTGTGTGTGTGTGTTGGGCTTGTTGAGCTGTGCCCTCAGCCGTAACCCTTGGTGCTTGCTTTTGTTTGGACTCTGTGTGCGTGTGGACTTTGTGTGTGTGTGGACCTGTTGGATGTTGGCTTTGGCATTGGCTTTATATATAAAGCGGGGCGTGAGCCTTTTTCGGTAATCAAGGTCAATATGCATCTAGCAACGAGAATCACAAGGCACAATTCATAGGTGCACAAAATCTACAGTACCATCTGCTCCACACTGGCTTCAGCATTCAGAAAATTATGACTGCTGTTTTAATCAATCCCGACTTATAACAAGCAGGCGTGAATTAAAATCAAGTTCACGTCAAAGTAAATACCTCTGGAATGTCCGCACGGATAACAGAGATGAACTTTGAGAAGCGCAGACGATGCAGGACATTATCGAAGATGGCCAGGTAGAGCGTCACCATCCTATTGCCTACAATCACAGAAAAATGGAGTCACGGACTAGGAGGGCATCAAATCAAATAATATAGTTAAGGGATTTGCATATGGGCTTGCCTCTGGTCGATGAGAAGGCCTGAACGCAATTGTGCTGGATGAGGACAAGGAGAGAGTTCTTCACTTGGCCCGGCGGGAGCTTGAGACGACGGACAATCTCCGGCAGCTGCAGCGCTCCGTGACGGAGGAGGCAGTCGCACACTTTCTGCGAGAGGGATCGGGCGGCGTGAGTTAGGGCATCACGGATGAGCTGACACACTAGGGTAGGAGGTGGACAGAGATTTTACAGCTACGAGGGGGCCGAAGTGGTCGGATATGAGGCCCATGGCGAGGAGGATGCCGTGCTGCGGCACCATGGCCTCCGGTGGAACCTGAGCAAAAAATGTATGAATAAACAAGAAATCAACCATTCCTCTTGTGCGCACACTAGCACAATCTGAGCAAAAATACAGAAAGGCTTGCAGCATGGCGTGACACGAAAGGTGGAACCTGAAGATCAATCAGCTAACATGCAAAAGGAGAAACAATCACTTGAAACAATAATATTTTAGACTGTTAAGATCAACAACAGTGTAACAGTAGCACTACATTCCCAATCATAAACAAGATTTGGGACATCTATCATGTGCCAACAATACCACTATAGTACTAATGGGTTAACCAATTTCGGTCAGTATAACCAGGAAAAAGCTCTTGCTCTCTCAAATTGCATGTTACTGCTACTAAGCTTTGATTTCATGTCTAGACGGCGCAGATAAAACAACTTAATCTTTTCCTTCTCATATATCATCAGTCATTGCATGTTTTCACTGCTAAGATTTTTAAACCAAAACATTTGCTCATCTGAGAAATATAGAAACTAGAACTTGTAAACATTTGTTCCTACAAGCATTATCACAAACACCTATCGAGCAAAATCCTTGCACATGTAAACTTTTTTTTTTTGCGGGGTATGTAAACTTGAACATGCACCGGGAAAAAAATCATGCAGCAAGTAGGAGTACTCATCAAGAACAGTCATCATTATATTCTCACAATGCAATCTACCGCAAGTACTCATCGAGTACAAAAAGGCAGGAAAGAAATTGAACAAACAGAGGATGCAAGAGGAAGGAGGGAAGAGGGAGGACGAAGGAGTGGTGGCTACCTGCCTATGGAGTATGGACTGGTCGCCGGCGTAGCTCCGGGCGGAAGCGGCTACTCGACGGTGGGTGGCGCTGATGGGTTCCTGTACCGGCGGCGGGGCAGCAGAGGCTTCGGCCGGCGGCGGGGCAGGAACTCGGGAAGGAGGCCTCTCTGGTCGTTCGCTCGGTTGAGGGAATAGTGTTGCGATTAATTAAGAAACAAAATAAAACCGCTCTCAGATCACGCACGGCGCTCTCAGCCGTCAGATCTCACGCACGGACACATACGTTCCGGATCGATCGCCCGAACCGCCTTCAGTCTGTTATATTGGAGACAGCAGCAGCTCGGCACCGCCATTACTATTGGAGACTGGCCCGTCGCCTTTCTCCAGCTCCGTCTTCCGCCATGGGCCATGGCCGCCTTGAAATTTTGCCTCCGCACAAGTTACTAGTTGCTGCATACAAACTTTGGGAACAGGATGCCGAAGAAGACGAGGTACTACAGCCATTGAGCCTCCCATCTGTGCAACGACGAGCTTCCCCTGCCGTCTCCATCACGTTGTGTAGCCAGCTCGCTGCTGTCGCCGTGGGGCTCGCTGCCGTCGCCCCGACCTTCTCGTCTCCGGCCTCTCATGAGGTGCTTTAATTTCTTTCTAGTACCAGGCACAACACAAGCAGACTTATGTTCGTCAGGTCACTTTTCCAATCCCACTCAGTAACCAGCAAAATTGGATCCTTAACTGCGGAGCAGACACAGGCATGCAGTCTGACAGATAGACCAATAAAATGCACGAAAACAAGCTTGCTCTTTCATTCTGCACACAAGAATCACGAGCCAAACATAAATATCTTTAAGCAACCCCAGCCTTCTACCCTACTCCACTCCACACTACTCTACTTGGAGAAGATGCCCCATCTTCTTGCTTTGCTCTTCTCAATAGCCTGCAAAAAAAAAACACACACATCTTCATTTCATTTCATCACATACCTCAAAGCAAAAAAGAAAATGTGAATTTATTGTTCCTACTGCATATCATGCGATCCTACGGAAACACATGGCATTGCTAACTTCAAGTGCATAGCAGGCACGAATCAAAGCCAGTTCAAGTGACAAACTGTCAGACAATTAACTCGTACCTGCATCCTGAACACCCTCAGTATTAGAACAATAGTATCCCGTGATCTGCAAAATCCAAAGAACCAACACTTACTACCTATGCCTCCATACAATTCGTACGTGTAAGGTCATCATTCTAAGATATATAAAAACCACAAACACACAAATAACAATGGCAACAAACTAACAACCGTTATTCTTTCAATAGCATCCAACAATAAGGTTTCATGATTACACATACAACTGCTAATGTAACTCAATGGACCACTACACAAATGCAAAATAACATTTGAAACAAATAGCTAGTTTCAAACTCACGGGGAATTTTCAGCAGGCTTGACATTATACTGCGTGCCCTTAGCTGACTGAATTGAAAACTCAGTAGGATGCGCCCATGGGATACTGATCTGTAAACATAGCACAAGATTAGTTGACACCTGTAACTTACTACTACGTAGTGAACCGGCTGATACAATTTAAAGTTCTGTTCAGCACTCCAGAGTGCCAAAGTACGAAAATGCATAAAGTGAAACTAACGATTACTATCCCTGCTCAGAAAAATAGTGCTACGATTTACTCGCCTTCCTGCAAATTTGACATGTTATTTTTATTCAATTTACGAAATCTATTAAATTATACCATTATGAAAGTACTTTTTGGCCGGAGTGATCCTCTTCTAAAAAAAATGTGCTAACATAAATTTCACGCGGCCAATATTAATGCAATGTTATTTACAAAGATTAATGTTACATAAAAAAGATTTTATCACAGAAGTTATGCTTTATTGTGATTGAGCGGAGTATAATCAGAAACAAGAGACAATTATTTATTGGAAATAACTATTACTATCCCTGGTTACAAAAGTGACATGTTTTACTATTGTTCTCCTGCAAATTGTTGTCATTGTTAGTAAATTAGTAAAACCTACTAAAAACATAAATGCCATGCATCCAATCTAAATACTCAGTTATGTAAAAACATAATGATATTTTATAAATGTTTTGTAGCAGAAACAACATTTTTTTTGTGACTGGATGGACTATAAGATGAACAGATTAAATTCAAGGACAGTGATTTTGGGGAACCATACATCCGTGGATTGCTGGAATCTCTCTGTAATGACAACACCGCGTTGTCCGTTACACTTAATGCTGTAACCTTCCCTCTTTATTGACAATACAGCAGGTTCCCACATATCTAGAAATCTAACCTGAAACTTTAATGTTTCAATTGTTTATGGTTATATAATATAAAAAACAATTTGTACCAAGAACTACTAGGCCTTGACAGGCCACTAGAGGAAGACAGAGGATATACGTACAGGTAGCAGGACTTCATAAGACACATGCCCAATGGAAAGGATTCTTTTGATAAGCTCCTTCATTTCAGGATCTGCACAGATAATGATTGTATACTTAGCATTCAGCAACATGGTTCAATATTTACTACGTTGTACTTAAAAAAAACAGCCATAATGAAACTACACTATTCACCGCAAGTAATTCTCATTTGTTCATTGGCATAAATCTTCAGGACATCTCCCTGCAAAGCAAAAGAAAACATTTCTTCAAATAAAGTTAAATATTATGAAGGTCATAGTAAACGTTACTATGATCAACCACTTTACAGAAGAAAACAAACTATGTCTGGGCGCTGCTCTTTGTGAGCTTTTTTGTTATTCGAGACTTGGAGACTTTGTTGAACATTTTGCTTATTAATAAGATGGCCGCATGCATCACTTCGATGCAGAGGCCGGGGGATAACCTCCTTTTCGAAAAAACTAATTTGCTAATCGATATAAAGATAAGTCCTAACCAAAAGCTAAGTATATATTATAGGGAAAATTATTTTTTTCGTCCTTAAACTTTTTTGAAAATATAGAAATGGTCTCTCAATTCCAAAACCAGCAAACCTTAGTCTCTCATCTTTTAAAACCAAATAAGTTTAGTACCTTTGGGTAGTTTTCTGCCGACATGGACACAGTTTTGACTACAACCAGACACAAAATGCATGACACAGGTTCGAACTTGAGACCTCGTGTGCTAACCACTTCACCGAACATGTGTTGCTTTTGATTAGGAGGTAGACATTCCTTTATAGTATATACATAGATATTAAACATGTTCATAACAGCAAAAAACCACCCAAAACGGTAAATGAGGGACTAAACTTATTCGGGTTTTAAAAGTTGAGGGACTAAAGTTTGCTGGTTTTGGAGTCGAGGAATCATCTGTATACTTTAAAAAGAGTTTTTTTTTTTGAAAATGAGGACGCCCTCGACCTCTGCATCTGGGTGATGCATGCAGCCATTTTATTAATTATTCACAAAGACCTTACAAAGTAATACATCAGTAAGTCTGAAGTCACCATCTTGGTAACAACTGTCGCTACTCCTATCCACTTGATGAAGGGGTGTCGAATGTCCAAGCCGAATACCAAATAGACCTTGCATCAAAGCCTAACATCTAAAGCCGGAGGCCCCAACCAACCCTATTGCCGGGTCTGGGGTACACATCGGTCTAACGCACTCTCAGAGGCCATCGCCGCCATCTTCCACCGATCCATCTTCAAAGCAAGTATTGATGCATCGACCTTGCCAGGCCTGCCATCGACGCTACCACGGCGCCAGACAACACCACCTTGCTATGCGCGTCCATCATACATCCGTCGCCGAGACCCTGCTGCACCACGCTTCTGAGACTCCACATCATCGATGCGTGACATAAACACCGCTCCACCGCTAAATCCGTCCACTAATCCCTCGAGCCAATGCACACCTCCAAAGAATGACGCCCCCAAGGAGGGAACAACACAAGAGCGCCGCCATCATTCGATCAACTGGTCAAGGGTTTCCCCTGGAGGTAGCGAGAGGAGTTGGGAGCTTCACCTCGATGATGCCTTCATGATTCATGAAGGAAACGGCGCCAAGGGCGTCACCATCACCGGCTTCGGCCACCAGCCAAAGACCAGGTTTTCACCCGGATTCATCCCAAGAACATTCAACCGACAACATATGCATATGCAAAACCACCTTCAAAGCCCCGGAGCTGGCCATCCAAATCCGGCGATCATCCACAACCGCACTACCACCAGGGTGTATCCTGACGCTCCGGCCACTACCGAAGGGCGACACCGCTGGAGCATGGAGGGAGGGTTGCCACCCCACCGCGCCATGCCGAAAGAGCCGTTAGGATAAATCTCAAGCACACTCTTCACCGTCTGTGAACCCAACGGGATCCGGGTCGAATCCGCCGGACCACTGGAGCAGCTCCGCCTTGGACATGGGTACGTCCATGCTATTCAGCCGAGGACGGTCTGGGCCTCACACCGGCCGCCGCCCCGGCATCCCCTGCCAACCCACGTCGCCGCAGCCCGCGCTGCCCGACGAGCCAAACCGGCCTTAGGCGCCGCAGCCCCACAAGCCGCCGTCTGCACCTGGCCGAGCACACACCTCAAGAGGTCTGCCCGCAGCCATCCACGTGTCCGCACCAGCCACCACCGTCGCCGGAGTTCTAGCCGGAGCCGCGCCACGGCACCATGGACAGCGCCGCGCCTCCGCGTGTAGTTGCCGCCCCGCATTAGCAGCCCCATGAGGAAGGGAGAGAGTGGCCCCGCCGCAGCCTATGCCAGCCAAGCTTTGCCCGTCGGCGCGAGCTGGCGGCGGTGAGGAGGAGGAGTAGGTGAGGGAGGGCTGGCGGCGGCGGCCCTAGGCTCGTCCTCCCGCTCGCGGAAGCGGGGCAGGGCGAGATGCGAGATGCGTACTACAAAGAGTTAAGGACGAAAAATATACTTTTTCGTATATGACTCTTAATCTATAGAATCCTCTCTGTGAATAAAACAAGACTGAGCCATCGATTCCATTGCACGGAAGTAAAAAAGAACACATAATTCCAGTTAAGAATGATCGGGCGAGAGGATTCACCTTTCTTTTTCGGTCATCTAGTGGCTGGACCTCAATGGCTAGTAGAGTGTCCACGTCGTCAGCGGTAACTACATATGTGGGCTGCCGTGCACCTGCATCAGGAAGGAGAATGTTAATCTGAATTTTTCTACGGTACACAAATATAAAATAAATGTCTCAAAGAAAACCAATATAAAATAAAAGCCTCCTAGCATCTGATGGAAATATATACTCCCTCCGTTCCAAATTACTCGTCGTGGTTTTAGTTCAAATTTGAACTAAAATCACGACGAGTAATTTGGAACGGAGGGAGTACCTTCTATGAACTTCACGGATCCATCTTCGAAATGGCGTACCCACTGTATGCACAATTTATTTTCATTTGTGAAACATGAGAATTGTACAGAACTCAGAACAAGTCCACAAAGACAGGAAATTGATAGAATGTCAGAGTATGTTATAAAAGCGCACCTCGAAATTACAACCTCTGGTTCCGTTGATGGAAAACCCACTCGCTTGAAGTTCTCTTCCAGGGAAAGCTTCACCTGTGATTCTTAGTCCTTTTATGCCTGGCAGGGGATCATCCTCTGCAGCTGCATATTCATTCTCAACTCCCTCTGTATTTTCTAATACATCACTCCTAACAGGTTCCATGAGTGTTGGGTCTTGATCAGGTATAGCACGATAATCACGCTCAGTTTCTTGCGCTACAATATCCTCGGTAATATGGTTGCTGCAGAAAGAAGAAACCAGACCTGGTAAGACAACCAACATGCATTGTCTATTTCTATAATATAGGTTTTTTGAATAAGAAGAACATTCTATTAAGAGGTCTCATACACAAATTTAACTGCATACAGAAAACACCAAAGATTGAATAGAATACCACGCCTTACCTTGTTGGTGCATTGTGAACCATGCCCAAACTGGTGTTTCAAAGACATAAAGTTCACCATTATTTGTAAAATAGGTGGGCTTAAGCAATAATTTCAGATATAAATGATTCCTAGATACTATGCTATTTTAAAGAGTGAAGGACAAAGCAGTGTAGAGTCGTGCAGAGGCAACCATATATTGGGTTCTCGTTAGCATAAATATCATGGCAATTTGCCTCTGGATTCAAAATTTAACTAGCATAAATATAGTATTAAATAATTAATAAGGATTCATGTAACTACTATCTCTGTAAACTAATATAAGACAGGGAGTACTTAACTAGACAAATATCACGAAAATGGATGAATATGCATCACTGTTGTAAAAATGAAGGGAAAGGCTGGGCGCACTCATGCCAACTGTCTTAGTTACCTTGTCCATCGGTGACCCTCATCATTTTTCAGCTCTTTGATCACAGTTTCAGTCTCGTTCAGTTTATGTATGATATCTACTATAGTAGGCCTTTTGTGCCTATCGCTCTCCATGCAGGTCAATGCTATTTCAATGCATATGTTCACTTGCTTGCAATACGCTTCTAAAGGTTGGGAAGCATGCCATGTTTCCTGCAATCTTTTCCTCCAGTTTACATGTACCTATGAAATCGAAGCATACAGCTAGGATGATAGATCCTCCATTTGAGATTGCAAGGCTTGTTTTTTCTAGTCGTTGATGAACAAAATAATACTAAAAATAGCTCCAATACCCCTTTTTTAACGAAATGCAGCAGTGCTGCTTTCAAAAATATTAGGTAAGGAGTACTAGAGTAATTTGCATGCATAGATAATACTACCTCCATTCTGTTTTTGATGTCATTTTAGAATGCGTGTGGTCAGTCATGTATAACTTTGACCCTTAATCTGCACGCACAAATTTCGAGTGGGAAAATGCGGTTACTAGATTAGCCACAAAGCTACTCTCATGCCATTGCGTACATAGGAATTTTTACTGACATGTAGTGAGACATAGTAATGATCAAAAATTGTATATCGAAGACTGACCGGCCTCGCGTTGGGGTGAGGTAGGAGGCCTCACCTCGAGCAGGATCTCTCGGGAGGAGGTTATAGCGTTTGGAGGGATTCTGGATCCGATTTCTGAGGGATGGCGGTTGAGCGGCCGTCTCCAGAATCAGCCTGAGGTGGACGACATTCAGCAGCGGTGCGCCATGAGGGCGGCCAAGCATCATGACATTGAGGTCACTACTGGTATGTCAGCTAATACCTCTAATTCCATTTTGCATTTTTTTAATGATGAGATTGTTGATAATGCAAATCAATTAGGAGTTTCACTAGGTAGTAATGTTAGTGAAATTTCAAATTCGGTTAATGATCTCCTGGATTTAGAGGCTGAGCGGGCTTTAGAGATGATTCACAACTTAGCGGCGGTTAAGCCCATGAGTGATTCTGAGTTTGATGCTTTGGGGGTCAGGGTGCTCGATAATTTTTGTGCGGATCTTATTCCTCCCATACCTGAGTCGGAAGAGGATGATGATACTTCTGAGAATGTTGTGGTTAGACCTTCTGAGACTGGTTGTGAGGACCGGTTGCAGAGTCAGAATGTTACTAAACGCAAGTGGAAACAGAAGGTGTACCCGGTGTCCGCAGTGCGTAGAAGTGTTAGGATCCGTACGGCTAAAAAATTCCATGATGAATTATGAAAGAAATCTTTTGGAATAGAAGAGATCTAAAAGACTTGGCTAAAAGAAGGTTTCCTGCTGAGGCGTCTGTCGAGCATCGATTAGATTTTATCGCTTTATCGAAAATTGGTAGAGATAATTTTGTGCCACAATTTCTAAATACTTTGTCGGGGGGTATTGATTTTGACTGGCATTGTCTGCCACCGAGAGGGAGATCGGGTGGGATCTTACTCAGAGTTCGATGCGATTCGCTCGAGGTTCGAAGTGTGGTAATGGGAGATTTTGCAGTCAAGTTTCGGGTGCGGTCGAAGGCCGATGGGTTCAGTTGGGCTTTGGTCGTGGTATATGGTGCCGCACAGCCCGAACTTAAGTCTGAGTTCTTGGCTGATCTGGTTAGGATTTGCGGATCTGAGCAGCTTCCTATCCTGGTGGGGGTGATTTCAACATCATTAGAAGGCGTGAGGAGAAGAACAATGATAACTTTGACGGCAGATGGTCGTTCATGTTTAATACTATCATTGAAAGTTTGGATTTGAGAGAGATTGAGCTCTCAGGAAGAAAACTCACTTAGGCTAACGCGCTGCCAAACCCGACGTTTGAGAAGTTGGATCGAGTGTTGGCTAGCGTCGAATGGAAACAGAAGTTTCCCTTCGTAACAGTTCAGGCTCTTTCCCGTGGAATTTCTGACCACACGCCGTTATTTGTAGACTCTGGTGAGGCCACCCACTTGGGAAACAAAAACTCGTTCTCTTTCGAGCTTGCTTGGTTTGAACGAGACGACTTCTTTGATCTCGTAGCCAGAGAGTGGGCTAAGGATACAAGAGGGAAGACTGCGCTTGAGCGCTGGCAGAATAAGATCAGGCATTTGAGAAGTTTCCTGCGTGGGTGGGCTAAGCATCTTAGCGGGATTTATAAGGTCGAAAAGGAACGGCTCCTTATCCTTATTCAGTCCTTAGATGTAAAAGCAGAAACCACAGTGCTGCCAGCCTCGGAGCTTCATGCCAAGCTTGACGCGGAGATGAGGCTGAAAGAACTTCTTCGAGAAGAGGAATTAAAGTGGGTGTTGCGGGCCAAGGTCCGACGAGTAGTCTAGGGGGATGCGAACACTCAATTCTTTCACATGATTGCTAATGGTAAACACAGAAAGAAGATGATCTTTCAGCTTGAACAAGATGAAGGAACAATTTTAGGACAGGAAAACCTAAAATTATACATTACCGAGTATTACAAGTAGCTGTTTGGACCTCCAGAGGATAACTGTGTGTCTCTGGATGAGTCTAGGATTGAGGATGTTCCTCAACTAATAGCAGTGGAGAATGATATTTTAGCGGCTCCTTTTACCGAGAAAGAAGTGTTTGAGGCCATATCGCAAATGAAAAATAATAAGGCGCCAGGCCCGGATGGATTTCTGGCTGAGTTTTATAAGAAGTGCTGGCATATTATTAAGGGGGATCTGTTGCCTTTGTTCAATGATCTCTTCTCTGGACAGCTTCAGCTTTTTCAGCTGAATTTTGGAACGATAACTCTTCTTCCTAATAAAACAGAGGCTATGAGAATTGAGCAATTCAGGCCCATCTGTCTTCTTAATGTTAGTTTCAAAATTTTCACCAAGGTCGGGACTAATAGGCTCACACAGATCGCGCATGCTGTGGTGCAGCCTACCCAAACTGCTTTCATGCCGGACAGGAACATCCTTGAAGGGGTTGTGGTCCTTCATGAAACGCTCCATGAGATTCACACAAAAAAGCTAAATGGAGTTGTTTTCAAAGTGGATTTCGAGAAAGCGTACGACAAAGTGAAATGGCCTTTCCTTCAACAGGCCTTACGCATGAAGGGTTTTGATGAAGCTTGGCGACGCCAGGTAGAATCTTTCACGCAAAAAGGGAGTGTTGGAATTAAAGTGAATGACGATATAGGTCATTATTTCCAGACACACAAGGGCCCGAGACAAGGTGATCCAATGTCTCCTATTCTGTTTAACATTGTGGTTGACATGTTGGCAATTCTGATAGGAAGGGCAAAGGAGGCCGGTCAGGTGGGTGGCTTGGTGCCTCATCTAGTTGATGATGGTGTGTCCATCCTACAGTACGCTGATGATACAATCATCTTTATGGAGCATGACTTGGCAAAAGCGAGAAATATGAAGCTGGTGTTATGCTTATTTGAACAATTGACCGGATTGAAGATTAACTTTCATAAAAGCGAGTTGTTCTGCTTTGGTAGAGCCAATGAGGAACAAGAGGCTTATAGGCAATTGTTTGGATGTGAATTGGGGGCTTTACCTTTTACGTACCTAGGTAATACCCATTCACCATCGTAAGCTAACAAACAGAGAATGAAAGTGCATCGAGGATCGGTTTGAGAAGAAACTGAGTTGCTGGAAGGGCAAACTCATGTCATATGGAGGCTGATTGATTCTTATTAATTCGGTGCTCACGAGTATGTCAATGTTTCTCTTATCTTTCTTTGAAGTCCCAGGTGGGGTTAGGAAAAGACTGGACTTCTATCGATCCCGATTCTTCTGGCAGAGTGATGAACTAAAGAGAAAGTACCGACTCGCCAAATGGGATATCATCTATCGACCAAAGGACCAGGGGGCCTTGGTATTGAGAATCTTGAAGTCAAGAACAGATGTCTTCTCAGTAAGTGGCTGTATAAGTTATCAGTTGAGACTGAGGCAACATGGCGCAGATTCTCCGTAGTAAGTATCTGCAGTCCAAGACTTTGTCCCAAGTGACAGTGAGACCAACTGACTCGCCGTTTTGATAGGTGCTTATGAGAGTCAAAGCTTTCTTCTTTAATAGAACAAAGTTTATTGTCGGTAATGGCAACACCACTCGCTTCTGGGAGGATACTTGGCTTGGTGACCGGTGGGAGGCATGGCTTCATTTAGTGAGTAGACTGATGGAGGTTCAGCTAGCTCATCAGCCCGATCAGTTGTGTTGGAAGCTTACTAGGTCTGGAGAATTCACAGTCTAGTCGATGTATATCGATGTCATTAACTCTAATGTTATTCCTAGTTCCAAACATGTTTGGAAAGTCAAAGTTCCTTTGAAGATTAAAGTGTTTATGTGGTATGTGCATAAACAAGTCATTTTAACAAAGGGTAATTTGGTTGAGCGCAACTGGATAGGATCTACTAGGTGTAGTTTTTGTGATCGGGACGAGACTATCAAACACCTCTTCTTTGATTGCCCGTTGGCGAGAGTTTTGTGACGCACCGTGCAAATTGCCTTTAACATTACTCCTCCGAATTCGGTCAGTATGTTATTTGGAACGTGGCTTGTTGGGATAGAGTCCGAAACAGCTAGACACATTCGTGTAGGAGTATGTGTGTTGTTATGGGCAATTTGGAACTGCATAAATGATTTGGCTCTTAACAGAACAACAACTATTCATTTTTTGCAGGTTTTATTCCGAGCTACTGCGTTGATGCGTATGTGGTCCTTACTCACTCCGACGGAGGCCAGGGAACGTTTGATTACTGGATCTGTCCGGTGGGAGATGGTAGCACGGGATATCTTCAACCGGTTTGGATGGCGGTCATGTAATAGGATAGGCGATTAGTTTACCTATCTTTGTTATGCCAGCCGGTTGTGGCTTTTGGGCCTTCTATTTTTGGCGTTGTGGCTCTTTGTGAGCTTGCCGTTTTTATTGTTTCCAGACTATAAGATCTTGTTGAACCTCTTTTTATCTATAAATGTGGCCGTATGCATCGTTCTGATGCAGAGGCCGGGGAGTCCCCCCTTTTCGGAAAAAAAGGATCGAAGTTGTAGAACACAAAGTTGGATGTTTACTAGGCGGATAAAGGAAACATCAAAGCTGGTGTTGTAATAGAAATTAGGAACAGGAAATATGTTGATTTTTATGAACAAAAAAAAAGCTAATATGTAAGGCAAGAGTACTTTGCAATGCAAGACAATCATAATATTTGCAAAAATGGCAGTTGATCTATTTTATGAAGTGAAAATACCTACTTACTTGATTAATAAAGTCTTGGTAAGTCATTTCAGCCCTCCTGGTGGGGCCTCTAGGCCCCGTAATTATCTTTGTCACCACAACACCCAGACTGAATATGTCCAACTTCTTCGAGACTATGTGTTCAAATAAATATTCCGGCGGCAAGTATCCACTGAGCATGGAAAAATAAATATAATAGGTACAATGTATATAATCAGCATATTCTCCTTCACTGCTGAACAACTTATTTGCAGGAGAAATTTGATCACTCACATTGTTCCCGTAAGAATTTGAGTGATCACTGATTGTTCTCCATCGTAGAGCTTAGACAAGCCGAAATCTGCTAGTTTTGGCATCATATTCTCATCTAGCAGTATATTGTCAGGTTTCAAGTCCATATGGTAAATTGGTTCTTTGAATCCTTCATGAAGGTATTTTAATCCCTCACATGTCCCTTTGATAATTCCGTAACGTGTGTGCCAGTCAAGTCCATCACATTCCTCTGCAAATTTAAACAAAAGTTTCAATGAAATAGAAACATAAACAAACCTTATTTTCTTCACATGCTAAACACTCCATATAGCATACTCGAAGTGGAGAGGTCTTGTACCAGAAATATGCTTTTGAAGGCTTCCATTTCGCATATACTCAAAGCAGAGCACTCTGTTTGTTTCTTCAGCGTAAATGGTTTCTCCATTGTGCAGCATAGGTTTATGATGTGTTTCGTAGCAATAGCCAACTAACTGTACAATGTTGTGATGATCGAGCCTCATGAGGTTTTCAAACTCACGTTTGAATTGCTCATCGTCAGTTCCTTGCAGGTTATTACGGAGCAGCTTTACAGCAATCTCCTCTCCATTGGCATGCACCCCCTACTCATTTTAATAGAACAAATCCATTCATAAGTCCATATCATTTTCTCTATGAGAGGGCATAGCCCCAAAGTGCATATCATTTGAAAAGCACAAGGATATAAGTACCAGGTTATGCTTGGTTTTATGTCGCGTTTTGTTAGATAGTCTGTCGAAGGTTGTCAATGGAATTAAGCAAGTAGATTGCTTAATGCACTACATTATTCTAGTCGAAATATCTCCTGCAAATTTTACTAACAGAACCAAGCATGCCATGTTACCTTGTATTCAGAGTCGAAAACCAAGCATGCCATGTTACCTTGTAAACCGTTCCATATGCGCCTTGACCAATTTTTCGCTCCTCCGAGAAATTATCCGTGATTTGTTGTAGTAGTCGGATAGTTAGACTTGCTGCATTTTGCAACTTGCTAGCCATGTTAATGTCTCTGCTGGGACAAATGAGGACACCTAAGAATGATCAAAATAGAGAACAGACTACCCCCATTCAGAAAGAGATGACGTTCGAGAAGAGTGCAGTCAAACTTCTATAACTTCGACTATTAATATATTCTTGTGAAAAAATACTATTAATATATAAATATTGCTTGCATTCATCACTTGGAAATAATATTATTAGACTTCCCATATCATTATTTTTGAAAAGAGATAACCCCGGCCTCTACATCATACGATGCACACGGTCAGATTTCCCATATGTTAAATATTTAGTTGTAGGGGAGTGGCGATTTCTTCTAGAGAAGGCAATTTTTTTTTCCAAAACTGGCATCGTTTGATCTCAATCAAATGGCTGAGAGGGCGTTGGCCAGTTAGCATTACCAAATATTTATCATATATCATGAAAAAAATATTTACATATTGATGGAACAAATACAATCAGAAGCAATAACCGGATTATTATGATTAATATCAGGTCTGCAAGAAGGAATCTGTATGGGAGCAAGGCGGAGAGACATACACACACGCTTAAATAAATAAAATTAGGAGGGGCAAAAGCTAGATCGAAGCATATCATCTGTATATTAAATTAATTAATTCTCCGGGGAGAAAAAAGAGGAAGAAGAAGATGAGGTGTATTACGACATCTGAAATTCTGAATCATGCATGAAGCTAGCTAGTCAGAGGATTGAGCAATATCGATCGCAGTCAAAGAGAAAAACGTAGAAGCAACCTGGAGATGGAGTTGGAGCTGCTAGCGGTGGGGTGCAGGAGCCCTGCCTGCAGATCTCCATCGGAGCTAGGAGAAGCCACATCCATGGCCGTTGACGGGAGGACGACCGGGAGGGGAGAAATTAAGACGATGGCTGCAGTGGGCGGCTAATCAGTGGAGATGGAACAACCGCACTTTACTTTATGGAGAGATGGAAAAGTGGAGCGCAAAGTTCTCATTCTGGAGTAAAATGGAGACCTGTATCTGTATGGTCTCCCTTTCAACGTTCAGACTAAGGCGTCTGAAGATTAGTGGGCGCACGATGTGATCCCGCACAACATCATTGTGCAGTTTGGTAATTGTAAGTTAATTGGGTGACAATGTCTCGAATGGTTCGGTTGTGATAGCACTATCGGTGTTATGATCTTTCTTGGTGTAGACGATTTTGACGCGATCCGGTCTATATAATTGCAACACCCTTACGTGCGGTTTAACGAGTGCTAGATTAATAACTCCAATAAATTGTTAATGATCGAAAATGTTGTGTAGGATCATGGTTCAGCCGAACCTACGTTCGGTGCCACACATCAGAAGACAACATTTTTCGATATCTGTGCATGGCGGGTGTGCTAAACCTCGACGGGAAAGATCAATGGACATGATGAGAAGGATTCGCCTTAATAAACCTACCGGCCGCTACCATCAGTTGTGTCATGTGCATGCCTGGTCAAAATGTGGGGATTCACACATGCGCTTAGGGAGAAGGAATAGCATAATAAAAATGTAGAAAAGAACGAAAGCTCGCACAAGGATTCAGTCTTTTGTACCATCCATGATCCATTGTAAATAATTCTCTACAGATATATTGAAGACTAACTCTAACTACAACTCTACAAGAAACTGAAAATATCAAAAAAAAAAAAACATGATTTATAACAAAAAAATATAAAATGTTTTGACAGATCTATTCGAATTCTAATCATTTAATAAAGAAAAATTATATCAGATCATGATTCGGGAGCTCAAGTAAAGATTCCGTGATGTATACTACCGTGGGGGTGTTTCGTAAAAAAGAAACTCCACGCATCTCTGACTAGTAATTCCGACTGTAAGAAACTCAAAACATATGAGCTTTAATACAGGATACAGAACAATGCATGTAGTTTATTTTTGATAGAAATATTTAAAAAAATTCACTTTTTACTTTAGCCCAAGAAGAACAATAGCGTTTAATACAGGACACAAACAAAGCATGTAGTTTATTTTTGATAGAAATATTTAAAAAAATCACTTTTTACTTTAGCCCAATTTTCTGTTTCAACACCTTTAACACATGCCATTTGCACCACCTATGACAGGTATGAGGCATTGTAGTTCGTAAAGCGTTTTGCATAGCTTTGCATTGATCTGTGGGTGTACAAAAGAAAAGTGATCAAACTATGACGAACATATGATAGCATATATAGAACCTGATAAGCTACAACAATGTACAAGACAAATTTTATAGTCTGACCTGTCAATATAGTAGTAGGATGCTTCCTGTTCGTCAAGTCAATTAAATGAACAGTGTTACAATGGGCTCCTCATCCTGTAATATGTAGTAGTTTGGAAGATGAACAGTGACTCAGGTTAGAGTAGTCCCCCTCTCCCCTCCGGCCCTCCCCGCGTCGC